AAGCACAAACACACGCCGACACACTGCGAAGCATCACTTCAACTTACACTTTCCTCGCACATCAGCAGCCACTTTCCTGCTTTCCGAGTGGCAAAGAATCGTGCGGCGGCAGCTCGTGCAGAAGGAGGTTGTGGCTCCACTGACTGCATTCCACGCAACACGTTTCCTTATCCCCAGTGCAGGCATTGACGACACGTCAACGTCACGCCAACATTCACTCACCTTCATTTTGTCCGCAAGGATGAAATTACGCTGCCACTCCGCCCACGCCACACCATAAACAGTCGGGTGGAGGGATAAACAAGACCATCCATAAATGCTCGTGCAACGCACACACAATCCATTCCACCTTCAATCAGCATCAGTTCCACACTACAACAGCATGCAATCAGCATCAACCCTCATCTGCCTGTGCCTCCTCCTCGCTGTCGCATCGTATCCTGTCTTTGCCGCTGCAGCGATTGTGGAAAACGCGAGAGCAGAGGAAAAGAAAGAGGAGGAAGACGAGGGCGTTCTGAAGTTGGCGTCAGAGCTGTCCGATGTGAGTGAGGCCAAAGAAAGTGACGATGTGGTGCCAGACGTGTTTGAGATGGAGCGACTTAGCGTACCCAACGAGGTTGAAGAGGACGCAGATGTTCTCGTGCCAGCAAGGCCGCGACGTCGATGGAGAAGAATCAACTGTGGTCCTCCTTACGGAAGCCGACGACGAAGGCGCCACCCACGTCCAATCTATCAGCCTCGTTTACCCTATTGAGACCCCACCTTGGCTGATGCCAAAGACATAACATTTTACAAAGTACCCCCACCGATTCCATTCAGCCTATTTCGTGACAATAATAGGGCACATTTTTACATGCTTCCATCCCACCCACCCATTGACTTCCAAAGACCGTACCAACACTTGCCTTGTTTGTGCAAATGCTTTCCTCAATAAACTTACTTTACACAATCATTCCCTATTTTGACACTCAGTCAGTTCTACATGCACGGCGTTGTTGTCTCTTCCACTTGACCACTGTGCAGATTTAAGGCATCGGTGGTGAGTAGGAGGACGGGAGAGATGGATGGAAGTGTGATGGAAGAGTGGAAGTGACGTCCATCGAATCATGGTGATCAAGAAACAGTGCGTCCAACAGTCCGCTCGCCTCACTAGGCATCCACTCTTCATTTCCACAGATCTGATCAAATAAACGCATTACACTTCTCCTTACCACCACCTCATCACATTCGCACACATCAGAGGCGATGCAGACATCGACTCAGTGCCACGTCACACCTCTCAGACGGCAAATAATGCTACCACCTTCTCCTCACCACTGCAACCAACTGCCCTCCAATGCATCAAGAAATAACGCGTCACCATCACTCTCATCTCCCACCATAATGCAACTGCAGCAAGCACCTGCCCAAACTGACAGCCAACGCCATCTCCCAATGCCGCACACAACCAAAACAGTGCACTTCCACCCACTGACACCTCTTCCATTCATTCATTCATTCATTCGGTCATTCACTTATTCATCCAGTCCTCCGTTGCCACTCGCCTCCCCAGCTCACTCAGTTACCAACCAACCATCCTCCCCCCATTCCAAACCACAACCCACTCCCTCTCCCCTCACCCACCAACACAAGGAACCACCAATGCAGCACTACTACCACTTCTCCCTCCGTCAATGCACTCCCTTTACCACTGCCACAATTTAGATGTGCGCACATTCACCACACCCTCAACATCCAACAGACAGCAGTGGTGGGTGAGTGAGAGGACTCCACCATCCCACTCCAACAGCCAATCAGTAGCACATTACACTCCCTCCACACACTCATC